TTCCTATGGATTAATTAGAAGAGTCCATTTCTACTGTGCACTGTGTCTTTCCTATGGAAATTGTAGTGAGAGGGGTAATTCTCAACATGCCATTAGGTCGTAAATGTATCTGGTCTAGCAAAGGTGTCGTGGTTGCCATGGGGACCAGGGTCCTGGGCCTCGTTCACAGACATCTTGGCACCCAGTATGTTTATTGGGTGAGGGGTCTGTGAATGTTTGTTAATCTAATGAATAATTAATTTGTTAAATCGAATGAAAAATGGTGTTCCTGATTGGTCCAGACGCTACAGCCTAAAGAAAAATAGGATGCCGCTTTCTGCCATCTGTTTCCTTTTGCGCAGCACAAAAATGAACCAAATCTCTGCATACTAGGCTACATGTTTTTTTCATTTTCTCAATTTATAATTTAAGTAAAAATATGTTTCTCATATAGGCCTACTTATTCGATATATATATATATATTTATTTATTTATTTATTTTTTTTATAGTATTGCACAGAAGTGATTATGGACATGCAGTCAAAAGTACCCACTGTTAAATACCAGTGACATTAAGCATCCACTTAGCATGTTAGCATGTTATCAACCTCACAAATAAGATAAAACCATCCTGAGCAACACCATGGCAGCCACCCACAACAAACTAGCGGCATTTAATTAAACAAAATTCTGATTTAACATCAGATCATTACTAATGAAAGCCTTTTTAGGAGACTAGTTCACTTTGATTAACTCTGCTCTGTGTGTTCCAACAGCAAAGTACATGGGGGGTACATAAAGCTGGTTGTGCGAGATAAAATACATTTAGCCCTCTGGCTAAGGCCAACCCAGATTACCGGAACATTCTGAGCGTGAACCCGGCCAGAGCCATTACCTTTTGCGTGTAGAGCATTAGTTTGCCACCAAGTGGGGCCGGAGTGGGAGGGTAGTTGTTTGTCCCCATAATATGAGGTTGATTGTCATTCTTGTGTTTAATCAAAGTGCCGATTATGCCCTCATTAAAAAGCTTTTACTCTCCCTGCGTATGCAGCCTCTGCCTCCAAAGTAATTCCCAGCAGATTTCCCAAGGGGCTTCCGGGCTGAACAACTGCTCTTAATTGTTTGACTCTTGGAGTGTCTTTTCACGACACCTGCTTGTTTCTCACAAACCCATTTCACTTGCACAGTGTGGATGTTGCTTTGCCGATGGATCATAATGGTTGAGACAGATGATTTGATGGAGCAAGTTCTAAGTGGTGCTTGCTAAGGCAGCCTGTAACTTAGTATTCAAATTTGGTGGATTAAGTCGCCCGAACCGTTTGTGCTACAGATATGAAGGATACTTCAATTTGTGATGCTTGATGAGATGTATGCGACTGGATTGGACTATAAAATGGTGAAAAAATCCCATAGGCTTACACTGAAGAATCTGAGCCATATCTAGGGATCAGAATATCACAGAGACATTGCAACTTACTCCTAGCAATGCTTAGAAACCACTCAAAATATCATAGCAATGGCATTTTAAATATCTTATGAATATCTTGAATATCTGAATATCTTAGCAACTGCATTGCAACTCCTTGGCAACCACTCACAAGACCCTAGCATAATTTCCTTAGACAATGTAAAAAATCTAGTTTCTTAAGCATTTGAGTTCCCTATAATCATCATAATTAATAAGACATTGTCATTAGGTTGCTTTGATTAGAGCTTTTAGATTTTCTGTTCCACAAAGACTTCTCTAAAACCTTGATGCATCATACAGTTTGTAATTTTTCTTCTCTCTTTTGGGTGTTAAGAAGCAGTTAGAGAATTCATCCTTGCATATTTTCCATTAGTAATTGGTTAATGTTTAAAGTGACTCACTGTTTTTCCCTCTTCTTTTCTTTCTCTCTGTCATCCTGTCTTTCTTTGAAATGCACTCTTTTTGTCCTTGCCTGCCGTCTTTGATCACTGGCCAATGAACAGCCTCAGTGCTTGGAGACAAATGTAATATATTAGTGGTGCGTGTTCCCTGGTGTCACCGCTTTAATTGAGAATGTCAGGCTAAAGTTAGCGCCAGGCTGAATCTCGACCTCACGTTTAATTGTGCGAGAAAGACGTGCCTAACAGTGATGTCAGTGACAGGAAGTGTGTGCGTGAGTGTATGAGATGAGTGGGGGTATGCTGAAGGCCCCCTGAGTTGCCTGAAGAACGAGCCGTCTGGACGATCAATAGATACCTCAGTCTCCTCCAGTGATCTGTCTATTTAAGACAGTCTCTTTCTCTGCAGCCACAGTAATGGAATCTCAGCTAATCCCAGATACAGTAAATTAACTCACTCTTTTGCCTCATCTTTCTCTCTTTCTCCTAGGTGGAAGTGGAGGTGGAGAGCATGGATAAAGCAGGAAACTTTATTGGCTGGCTTCACATCGAGGGTGTGAATTTGTCCGTCGCTCTGGTGGATAACGCCCTGTCGAAGGTCCACTTCACTGCAGAGAGAAGCTCCTACTACAAGACTCTGCTGTCTGCAGAGGAAACCGCCAGACAGAGTAAAGAGAAGGTGAGTTTGGTGGAAATCCAGCATGCCTCATACAGACTCAGGCTCTGTTCCAAAACCACCTAGGCAGCATTTTAAAGCATCATTGGCACTCTGCTGGCACAAAACCTGGGCTAACACAGTAGCCAGCAGTGTTATCTTTTAAGATACCTTCTTTTGTCCAAAATCTAAGGCAGCACCAAAACCCATTTATGCCAAGCCAGTTCACACAGCGGCCATTTTGGCAACACGCCAGTCAGATATTTTATTCACAAGATATTGAAAGATGTTGATAATGTTCAATCTAATTAAAAATGATCTATTTTACCCAATATTTATTTTGCTGTGGTGGTTGTTTTTTTTACGCACTTTTAACATCAGTTCCGGTTGGAATCTATTTATGTCGCACAGCGGGTTCCTGCCCTTGTAGAATGTTTCAAATCAGTCCCTTACAAGTTTCCAGTTCATTTAGGATGCTGCCTTTCAAGGGTATCTTGTATAAACAGTAGAAAGCTGGGCCGCCCACTAGGTTTTGGAACAGAGCTTCAGTCTTCTCTCAGTCACGATCAGAAATTGATATGTATCCTGCCTGCATCTGACAAGCAAAGAGATTCATTACTTATTATTCCAGATATCTTCCAGCCCCACTCTGGTAATAAATATTATCTATTTTCTGCCCAGCATGCTTTGAGCTCCTGGTGCTGAGGCCAGAGCCTGTCATCCAGTGTATACGTAAACAATGAGAATACACAAATCTGTTGTCATGTTGCATTAGTTCAGGCAGAACAAATGGACACTGGACCTCCAAAAGCAGTACGAGCTGGACAAAAGGCACAGGAATGAGTGTGTAGCTCAGGGGGTGTCACAGGGCTATGTCTTTGGCACTATCAATTTTGTTCTCTTTTCCCCACTAAGCTGTGATTGATGAAACCCTCTTGGTCCCTGATCTCAATCTCTCTCTTCATTTTCATTATGGCCGAAACAGCCCATGGAAAGCAACGGCCCTGGTGGACAAACAACACTCCCGCCAGCTGTTTCTTCTGTCCTCTATCCCTCATTTGGCGAGAGAGAGAACGGCCCCGTGCTGATAGCAATATGATCTACTGCCCAAGGTGGCGAAGAGCGTGTTTCTGTCTTCCTTGTCAAATCCATCATTTTTTTCATCTCTCTCTCTCATCTCAATCTCTCGCCTCTACAAAATATCGCACAAAGTTCCAAAACATATAGCCGCATCTTTCTTTCAAAGGCAGTGTTATCAGCTTCCAGCTCCCGTGAAAATAGCGACCAATCTTAAATGTGCATCTATAGATCTTCCCTTCTGATTGAACTTATGCCTGGCTTAAAAAGTAAATCTTGCTTGTTTACACTCCCTTAGATATGCGCACAGACATTCGCATATGCACACTCACTTGCACACCTCTCTGCCTCAGTGTCACCTCGCTGTAAACAAAGCATGGCATGGCTTGCACTGACACCTTGAGGAAAGCGCAGTTTGACCCTTATTTCCTGTGCTGTCGCTTTCCCAGTGGGTTGGATTGACTCACTGATTCGCTGGCAGTGAATCAAAGACGACATGTTTGGTTTGTTGTGCCCCAGTGTCCTGCTCTCTGGCCCTGTGGCTGTCTGGAGGGGGCCACCAGCACATGGCCACCCTGATGTGAATGTGTTAGAGGAGAGAAAACACAATCGCCACCCATGAACCGGACAGCTGCATTGTTCTCAATGATTGTAGATGCTGGTTGTCAGGTCGGTCCCAATCCATGCTTGAATTTCCCAGGCCACTCTGGATAATGGAAATAATTAACCCTTCAGGAGAAGTGGAAGACGGAAAGGAAAGCTGAGGTCAGCATTTCTTTTCTCTCGATGGCCTTCATTTTGCCACTGCCAGGTGTTTTTTTTTTTGTTTTTTTGCATTGAGCAGGGTTTATTTTACTCTTGTGTTTATTGTTCTCTTGTTGGTGGATGGGGAAGTGTTAGATGTTTGCTGTGTCATTTGTCCAGTTCAGAAAGTGACAGTAATGAAATGCACTGGGTCAAGGTTCATTAAAGGGGTCCTATTATGCTCTTTTACAAAGTCTTGATTTTGTTTTGGGGTGTACTAGAACATGCTCTCATGCTTGGTGGTTCTAAAATCGCATTATTTTTCACATAATTTACATTATTAAAATACCTTTCTCCCCATCCTGGCACAAACGACTCGATTAGTTCCGGCTTTGATGAAGGTCCGCCTTCCGAAAAACAAAATGTGTTGTGATTGGTTAGCTGTCCCAGTGTGTTGTGATTGGCGAACAGCTTAGACGGTGTTTCAGTACTGCCACGCCCCTTGCTCCGTCTTTCAGCAAAAGCTTTTTGGTGAATCCGGCAGGCACTGTACTCCCTCATGTTGTGGAAGCTGTCCTCAGTCAAATGCGCAGCACACAATAGCAAATTGGGGTTATAATGCTCAGGGACAGAGTTAAAAAATAAATTGCAACCACTGTTTCCTGACATCATTCGCTTTCGGAAGCCCAAAGACATTTGGGCACGGAGGTGAAAAAAACAGTGTTCCAGGCAGTCGTGCACCGGATGAGAAGCACTGCGTCGCGTTGCGCCACATCTTTAAAATTCAAATACATTATTTTCTGTGAGTGTAGGCACACCGGCGGCAGCGTTCAGCGTTTCAGACTCCCAGCTACGTCGTGTTATACTTGTAAGAATTGTTCTAGACATGCCGAAAATTTGAAGTTACAGCACAGCAGCTCTTCTTGGTTTTCTCTGATGCACTAACTCTGCAGCAGCACTTCTTTGTCGTCGTCTCGTCTGATGCACTCACTCAACCAAGCGTTCTAACCACAACCTCGCCCCTCCCCACCCCCCAACCATTCGAATTTCTGTAAGTGGGAATTATTTTTAATGATATTCTGATGGGCTGCTTTGTGATATCACAAAGACCGGAAAACAAACACTGTAGTCCAAACAAGCTGTTCGTTGTAGTTCTTGAAAAGGGATTTTTTTTAAATGAAATATCTCCCTTTGGAGTGGACTTTGAGATTTGTAACTTTCTAGATCTTTTTTATGCCCAAACATACACACTACACAGACTAAAATTTTAAAAGTGAAAAAGCATAATAGGACCCCTTTAAAGTATTTTTTTTCTTTCTTTTCAATTTTCTTTTATAATGAAAGAAATAAAGATGTCCATTAGTTTATAATAGTGGTCCATTGGCTATAAAACTGAGTTAAAGAACCAAAGGAGACCAGGTGATTTTAATGAAGAAGAACATTGCAGGTTTTTGCCTGCTGTGCCGAAAATTTGAAGTTACAGCACAGCAGCTCTTCTTGGTTTTCTCTGATGCACTAACTCTGCAGCAGCACTTCTTTGTCATCGTCTCGTCTGATGCACTCACTCAACCAAGCGTTCTAACCACAACCTCGCCCCTCCCCACCCCCCAACCATTCGAATTTCTGTAAGTGGGAATTATTTTTAATGATATTCTGATGGGCTGCTTTGTGATATCACAAAGACCGGAAAACAAACACTGTAGTCCAAACAAGCTGTTCGTTGTAGTTCTTGAAAAGGGATTTTTTTTAAATGAAATATCTCCCTTTGGAGTGGACTTTGAGATTTGTAACTTTCTAGATCTTTTTTATGCCCAAACATACACACTACACAGACTAAAATTTTAAAAGTGAAAAAGCATAATAGGACCCCTTTAAAGTATTTTTTTCTTTCTTTTCAATTTTCTTTTATAATGAAAGAAATAAAGATGTCCATTAGTTTATAATAGTGGTCCATTGGCTATACAACTGAGTTAAAGAACCAAAGGAGACCAGGTGATTTTAATGAAGAAGAACATTGCAGGTTTTTGCCTGCTGTGCTTGAGGTTCAATTTTAAGAACTTAAAGAGTTTTCATATTATCAGCAATGGTTAATGTTAGGATGACTTTATTATATTATATTATATTATACTGTATTTATGAGAGCACCTGGAGATTTGGTTTGGTCCGGTCCTCACACCTATAGTGCATGTAAAACACTACTAATATTGAATTTTTCGTTTTTTTTCCTTCTTTTTTTCCTTTTTTATTCTTATGTAAGTTTTCAACATTTTCAAGCCTAAAATCAGCAAGCTTTTATTTTGGCGGGTTGCCGGCAAGTGCAATATGCGCTGCAGGGGTGCTGCCAAGTGAGTTACTTTTATATAGCACTTTTCTGGGTACTCTAAAGTGATGTACATTTGTAAGGGGGGGATCTTCTCAACCACCACCAATGTGCAGCATCCACCTGGATTATGCGACGGCAGCCATATTGCGCCAGAACGCCCATAACACCAGCTTATTGGTGGAGAGGGAGACAGAGTGAAGTGCGTCAGTGAATGACACAGTTTTGCGTTTTGCTCTGAAACCGGCAGCACGTAGCTGAGATTTATTATTTGTTCAAACGGAAATCTTATGCAGTATTACAGTTGATCTAATTTAAGGGGGTCTGAATACTTTCCGTACCCACTGTAAATTGATTGAGAATAAATAGCTGTCAACCATGTTGGTATGCAAATGAGTTGTCTGAACTTATATACCCAGTGTATTTTTTTTTCACTTGCACATGCGCACCACTGATTATATTATATTATATAATTTTTTTATTAATTTTTTTTGGAGTTTACCATTGAATAATTAAAAGTTATATGAGTTTTATCACATCTAAGTGGGATGTTCAAAGGCCTAATGCGTGTTGGCGTAGACCAGGCATCATAATCAAAAGTATCACCATGCAAGACTAGGTCTTGATCTCTTCCCACTACTAATTCATTGTTGATGAGCAGCGATATCTTGGTAAATCTTCACACAAAACAAAGTCTTGCATTGTATTTGTGTTTACCCATGTGCAGAAACTGTTCCATGAATGCCTGCACACTTTCTTTGCACACTTTTGTTTTAATGCAGTTTCCCTGTAGATTGAGGGAATCTATTTAGAAGTTCCTCTCAATATCATGTGCCGTCAGCGCCAACACTGCTCTGAAATGTAAACAGTTGCTGCATGGAGA